ATAAAAAAATCAAAGTAGGCCAGTTAGTAAGAAAATCTGTGTCGGGGATCTAGAATCAGTCAACTTGTGTCCGCTAGCTTTATTGAATCCCGCCATAAAGTTATAATGTTGTTAATAGTGATTACCTTTTGGAAACCAGTCAGATGGATTGATTTTCGGTCTTCACAGCCTTCTTCTCTTTTTATCTCTTCCTAAAACTTAGAGAATATTGATCGTAAAACCAGCAAAACCCAGCCATCTGAGAGCGCTCATGACACAGCGTAGCCTCCTCCTTCACCTCTCGTGCTGTCATCGTCCCACTGCAGTACATACATAGCGTACATGTGTGTGTGTGTGTGTGTTGTGTGTGTGTGTGTGTGTGTGTTGTGTGTGTGTGTGTGTGTGTGTGTGTGTGTGTGTGTGTTGTGTGTGTGGTGTTTGTGTGTGTGTGTGTTTGTGTGTTTTGTGTGTTTTGTGGTGTGGTGTGTGTGTGTGTGTGTGTGTGTGTGTGCGTGTGGATGCCATAAGGCTGTATTATATAGATGAATATAGTCATTCTTATCTTTATCCTCCTTATTTTGTGTGTGTGTGGATGCCATAGGGTTTTATTATATAGTTGACTATAGTCATTCTTATCATTATCCACCTTATCTTATTCGACATCAACTCATCTCAAATTGAAAGATATCTAAACTAGTCTGAATATTTGTTAGGCATTTATCATATACACTGAAAATTATACTAGAATTCCTACCAAAAATATATTACACTTTGCCCGGCTAGCAAATCTGGAAAATTGAGCTGAAGAAATCTACAGTATGTCTTCAGGGTTAAGATTTGTTCTCCAGTATCCATAAGAAAACTGTCCAGATTACATAGAGGAACTTCGTTAATTATTCGAATGATGTATTAATCAAGCTTCTAGGTTAAATCTATCAATGCTTGAAGTTTTTTTTTTTGTGCAATTGTGGGTGTGAATGTGGTTGTGGGTCTTTGTTTGTGGCTATTGTATCTGTTAGTTTGTGTGTGAGGCATGCGCGGTATATGTATTATTGTCATTGTTGTTGTTTATCATTATCATTACCATGGTTGTCAACACACACTGACACACCAGGCACACAGGCACACAGACATACAGACACACACACACTCACACACACACACACACACACACACACACACACACACACACACACACACACACACACACACAACACACACACATTTCACGAAATTATTGAACAGTTTCGGTTAGATTGTTTCCAAAGAAACAATTAAGTTATAGTTCGCCCTCAAGAAAAAGTTTTCTTTAAAAGAAAACGGTCTTTCATAAAGGGGATACTTAACCATAAATGACAAGGATTGAACGAATTCTTGCTGATTAAATTTCGTGCAATAATGCAACTCAAAACACAAACGCTCCGCAAATATGAGGATTATATCATGTTGGAAAAATGATATTAGGAAGCCGATAACCTGCAGAGGAGTAGCTTCCTCAAACCAGGTCACGAGATACGAGATCTGTCTCCACTGGTTGTCAAGGGCAGCGGTGAATCGGTTGCTAAGCGAGACTAGACTCCCAAACAATGATAAAATAAGCTTTGCACTCCTCATTGTACCAAGGCAACCCCCTTCCTCTCCTTTCACCTAACTTTCCTCCTCTTCTCCCTTTCCTGTTATCATACTACGGGAAGGATGTAAATAATCATTCATATTCCTCTTCCCTTTTGGTGACATCACCTGTAATCCCGCGTGGCATCAGTGTGACATCGTGTTCTCACTTCCTTCTGTTCAAAGCGTTCATGTCACGTGTCAAGGGATCAAGATACGCCGAGGTCAATTTATACCTTGAACTAACCGTTTAAGTTCAAGTACATGATCGTGCCATGGCTTACATCATGCTAATAAATTCAAATAAAAAAGAAAGGGGAAATGGCATATACTTTGCTAAGCATTTGTGACGAAAAAATATATAAAGCATATTCCAAAAATAAAAACAATTTCGTCAATAATTCGTTATGCAAATAGCCATGAGTTAGGCTCTCATATCAGAAAGAGGATTTTTTTGCCGACTTTCCTCATTCTCTCACAGAATATTAAAAAAAAAAAAAAAAAATACCCAAGGCTCCACAATCGCAGCACTGAACTTGATAAACAATAAAGAATACAGTAAAACAGATAAAACAACAAACACTTAACGTTACTGTATAATTAAAGGGACTCATTAATTCTGTGTACTCGAGTTATTAAGTTAATTTCGAGGCAACGCCACATGCCGGCTATCTTTTGTGGTCAAGAATAATTTTGAACCCATTGTT